GAAGGAAGGAAGGAAGGAAGGAAGGAAGGAAGGAAGGAAGGAAGGAAGGAAGGAAGGAAGGAAGGAAGGAAGATTATAAGAAGAGTGTGGGAGGGTCTGGGGGAAGTCCTGCCTTAACACTTGGCCAGCACAGGTGCCCCCAACATGGGTGACATCAAGCTGGCCACACCCACCCAGGTCATGCCCACCCAGACCCTCCGAGGTCAAACACAACCTTAATGCGGTCCTCAATGAAATCGAGTTTGACATCCTTGTGCTGTAGTCTTTTTTCCCTCTTTTGGACAGGTTGACTGTCTCTTTTGCATAGTCTGTAGATGTTATTAATGTCTATGTGTCTATTGATGGCCGATTTGTCAGAGTGCCGGGCTTCTAGAAATTCCCTAGTGTTTTTTGCACTTGGTCTAGCTAGGATTGTCATATTTTCCCCATTGAAACTATGATTAAACCGGTCTAACCTGTTGTGAAATTAAAGGATTTTTGTCATTGTCTTCTGACTGCCAGCGGGTGTTCATGGAGGCATTCTGTCTGTTTCTCCCTATGTAGTGGTTGTTGTAGTTCTTACATTGTATATTGTAGATTATTCCTGTTTTTTTTTTCTCTCTCTCTCTCCTTTGCAGATCAGAAAGTTTGGGGGGCTTCCATTTTCGGTCCAGCTGGCCTCACCGAGGGGGCGACTGGTTTTCTCCATTTCATCTCTCTGTCATCTTCTTTTAACAACCCCATAATCCCTTGCGGGGTGGAGTCTGAGCAACTGAACTGAGTGTTTACTGGCCAGATGCCCTTCCTGTTGCCAATGCGGAGTTTTGTTCAGCAGATATATTCTCATTGTGTCCAGAAAGAGAAATAGCTGCCCCTACCTAGGATCGAACTCACAGCCTCCTGATTGTGAGGCGAGAGCGCCACCTCTACGCCACTGCACTGCTCATTTAATCTCTCTGTCCCTCAAACCATTTGTTTCCTTTCTAACAAATGCTCTCCGGACGCCCTGAATGCCCCACCCAGTGAGGGATCTATTCCCATGGTTTTCTATAGAAAGTTTAGGATCAATATTACACAAAGGGTTGCCGTCAAAGGAACATGGAAAGCAAAATCAACTTTTGCAGACTACTGACTTGTTCTCCAGGACAATATCTGGCAGCCAGATCAACGTCGAAGGGATCCGTAAACAGCTGATGTTGCCATACTCCTCTGGGTCCCACTGCAGACGGTAATCCCTCCATTTCTGGCAACAACAAAAAACTTGATTACACATATTGGCTTGGCAAATATCGACAAAATCAGGCACTATTACTATAGCTACTGTGATTGTTGGCTGAGCGGGGCCAAAAACAGCCAGAGAAATGATTGAAGCCTGGGAAACGGGCTGTTTGTCAATCAATAGGAGTGCTGATTTACCACCAGCCTATCAGGTACTTAGGAGCTGAGGCCACAGGGGTACAAGGACACTACAATTAACGACTAAATAGCAGGCCGACAGGACCCTAATTAACAACTAAAAACTATACACAACCAGGAAACATATCAATACAAAGCATAGAACAAGACCAGTGCACATATTCTGGAGAATTCTGGAAAGAGAGAAATTCCCCAATGATGGGTTCCAACATGGGCTCCAGCACGAGCCTTTGGTCCCAATGGCCAAGTCCGATTGGATCCTACAATGTTATCCTGGGATGTCTATGGAGATTCTTAGTCATCCAGGTCACCGTTGTCCCAAAGATGCTTTTTTTCCAGAGGCAACTGGACTTTCTGATTTTTCATCCAAGGAGCTTCTCCAGTTCTGACTGGATGGTGGGGAATGGAAATTGAACAGCCCTACCACAACAGAAGGGGCGGGGTACTACATCATCTATCTCCAGTCTACAACACAATCCTTTCAGAAGTTCCAAGAAGGCTCCACTCCCATTTGCACCACTCACAGGTAAACCTCCAAGTTGCCTCAACAACTCTCTAAAAGGATGCAAATCACTAGCTGTCTGCAAGGAATATAAATCCTTCTCCACCATCCTGCCAGGGCAGAAAAAGCTTCTTGGATGAGAAGCAAAACATCTTCAAAAAAAAAACAAAAACAACAACCAGAAAGTCCAGTCCTCTTGAAAGAGGCACCCTTGGGACTCCAAGTGGCCTCAGCGGCTCTCTAAAAAGGATGCAAATGGCCAGCCGTTTGCAAGGAATATAAATCCTTCCATTCCCCACCACCGGGTCAGAGCGGAAGAAGATTCTCGGACGAGAAGCGAAATGTCTTTAAAGCAAAACCAGAAAGTCCAGTTGCCTCTTGAAAAAAAGCACCATTGAGACTCCAAGTGGCCTCAACGACCCTCTAAAAAAGGATGCAAACGACCAGCTGTCTGCAAGGAATATAAATCCTTCCATTCCCCACCATCGGGTCAGAGCTGAAGAAGCTTCTTGGATGGGAAGCGAAATGTCTTCCAACAAAAACCAGAAAGTCCAGTTGCCTCTTGAAAAAAAAAGCACCATCATTTGGGATGATTCTGGGATACATATATTTATTTTCATTTGCAAGAGATCGGAGGCTACTCTTTATAAAATAAATTTCCTCCATCCATCTGTTATTTTGAGCCTGGTACGGGTGGGATTTCACCTTCGCGTTTACAATCAAGTATGCTGGGATAATTCTCAAAAGTCCTGCGCAGTTTTAAATTTATTTTAAGATAACCTTGAAATGCAACTGAGTTTAAAGTTGCCTGTTTAACAGGTGTCACAGACATGATGATTGGAATTTAAAGGGGAATCAATTAAATGATAAATAAGCTATAGGGGTTACTCTATAAATAAGCTATAGGGGTTACTCTA